CAAATTCCCCGGTTTCTATTTTATAAGACGACTGGGTTTCGCATTTAATCGCGTTTTTTATTTTTTACGGACTGACTTATTAACTTACGTTTTATTAAATTCTTGCGATATATCGCAAAGTATAGTACAACATAGAGAACGAGTAATATGACAGATTAAAAAGTGAGATGTATTTATTACGCAAACACACGTTATTATTAGCACGTGCGTTATAAATTATATTTTTAAAATCAATAAGTATTCAGTGGAAATTCGATTGATAAATGTGGAATTAAGTACTTTATATTCGTGCAGATAAAATATATAAAAGTGAAAATTATATCTCTGACCTATCTAATGTGTAATTAGATGATAACACATAACCAATTGCCTCCATTATCACTGATGCGACTATTGTTAATTCAGATTTAAACCAATATTGAAAATCTCGATTAACCACGCATGGTTAACGTCGAAGCGTAAATGACGTATTTAATTAACGATTAATTATTGGCAATGGTAATTAATTAATTGCTGTGAATTGTTGGAAAAAGAAGTCATGTGACTCACTCACCTAATTCTGGACCGCAAACTCTCGGTATAATCTCCAAAATGGCACTGCACGACGGATCCTCGTAGCATAATTGGCGAGCGTAGAGGCAATTCAGGATGGCCATCGGCACCTTGATGCCGGATCCTGAAACAGGATCGACACGGTACATATTAAAACGCCAGTCTGCACATAAAGAATGCGCTTTTAACATTTTTCTCGCGCCGCAGCGCGACGAGCACGATTAAAACTCGACGACGGCGGGAAAAGAAGAAGAGGAAAGGGGAATTCCATTGAGATCGGTCCACCAGCGCCGAAAAATTCGGGAAATTCGTCGTTATTACGGCAAATTATCGTGCGACAAAACGCCGGTCGAAAGATGGAGGGGCAGGGCGAAGAAGGAAGGGGGAGAGTATGCAGTGATTTAATATTCCCGCGATAAAGCGTTTCCGTTATTTATAACCGGCCGACGTGAAACTCTCCAGCGACGACAAATTATATTTCATTAGGCGCGCACGGATAGTTTGAATGAGAATGAAGGGACGCGAATAAAACGGGCGCACGCGCCTGTACCGACTCGTAAATCAGCGCGAATAAATTGTGACTGAAATTTTTTTTATGAGGACAAACGCAGTTTAGTCTGATTTTTTATAAAACGCCGATTTTTATCAAATCTGGTTGCCGGATAATGCAGTAATAAAATTAGTGGAGCAACAAAATGTTTACAGAATTACAGAATTGTTACAGATCAATCATTTGAGAGAATATTAATCCACAGACTCTGTCTAAGCATGTTTAAATCATAAATACAAAAATGGAAACATATATTGCCTAAATATTGAGATATTTAAAAACTTTAAATTTGAAGAACAATAAAGAATTTAAAGAATTTATCGGTTTAATTTGTGTTAGCTTACATTGTAAAAATGTTTTGTCATAAAATGTTGTTTTTTTTCAATTTGTAAATTAGAGAATAAAACAAATAACTACTGTTAAAATATTAATAATTTTAAACTTTGTATGAAAATGACATAATTGTAAAATATAAAAATAATAGAAAATTTTAAATAAAAAATTTTCGAGTCTCGAAATTTTAGTAATATATGACAAATCTTTTCAATTCTCAATTCTGGTTATTGGAGTGTATAGGAATTGATAGCAACCAATTACAATAGCCATATTTTATTAGTTGTTTAGTATGTGATTTTTTGCGTGACCACAAACTCGCAAATTGTCGGACCTGAGAGTACCGAGCGCAAATTGCGTCGCCGTTAATGCATCGATAAAACTCCATCGAAATGAAACGGGCTTTTTGGTTAATCAAACGATGAGATCAGTCGTGCGTCACACATAAAAGAGCACAAAGACCTTTGATTTTGCCAGTTTACGACACGATATTCGTTCTCCCGTGATTAGTTTGGCTTAATTAATCCCTGTATTTTTTACTTAACTTGGTTGCTATTGGATATGCAGTTGCAATTCATTCTTTACTGCAATATCGTTTTTAATACAAATACATATATTACCATCAAAGCAACAGTAAAATTCATAAAAAATATTTAGAAAGACAGTAATGTAAAAATATTGCAGATATTATTCTTCAAATCACAGAGATAAATTAAAATCAAAATAAAAAATTAACGCTTAGTTTTGCGAAAAAAGCTATTCAATTGAATTGTGAAAGATAAGACATTACTACAAACTATAGAAATTGTAATTAAAAATTCTATTTCTTAATTTTTACCATTTAAATTTTTAAATCACAAATAAATTATGAATACATTAAATCATAAAGAAACGACTGTTCTTACTATAAGCACTATTATGGAAGATCAGTTATTTTTGTCCGAAAAATAGTTCTTCTGACAAAAGTAATATATCGAACGTCAAATAATATTGTATTTCCTTCTCTAGAGTAGCTATACTGTCGTAGAATTGAGTCGCCACCGTGGAAATGTCTTTTCGCATTACTGCGTGTACCGGAAATGTTGTCGCTAGCGGGATTACATCTTGCGAGATGAACGGACGAGAGCACCGTTGCCGAAGCAGAAAGGGGGTCACGCGAGCGTCGCTTATGATACCTTATGATATCACAATGTGCCCCCCCCCGTGCGCGCACAAATTTGTTTTGCGTTTGATGTATCGCGCAATAGCGTAACGGGAATACGAATCCTTTCATCTCTCTCCCGGCGACGGCGAAATCCTCAAAGATGTAGGAGCACTTTCAGAAATGGCCGCTGTCAAAGGTCTCATTCGGTGCTCGCAATCGCGGAAATCCGTCTATTTCGGCGCCGTGCAAGGAAATACAGCATTGTGAACCGGGCTCTTTCAAAATGGCTCCCGATTGTCAAAATTTTGCATCTCCCGCGGATTTGCTTCGACCAGAGTGTAAGTTGTGTAAACGCACGAGTATTCCCGCGTACAATTAAATCCTCGTCTCCGAAATGCTATTGCACAAAAGATTTTTCATACTCAATTATATTCGATGAAACAATGTTGCAATATGAAATAAAGACCATAACGAATATATTATGTAAAATATGTGCATACGTATTGTATGTACTTGTTAGTGAATTTTTTAACATTTCCTATTCAGACGTTCCAACATTTATATAAATGGCCGGGAATTCTCCTTTTTAATCGATTACAATAACATTACTTTTCCACTTATATTTGAACGCATTAACGTCGCCGTTATATAGCAATTAACCACCGCCGCTATAAATTTTCCCCTTATTCACGCAGGACGATCGGAAAAATCCCGCTGTCGCAGTGCTGCGCCCGAGCGAGTATGGCCACGAGGTGACTGCCTCGTATAAAGAATTTTTTATTACCGTTCGTAGCCGCCGACCATTCTCCTCCAATTCCCCGCCCCTCGCCAAACGTTTCGTAATTAATTACAGTACAGGCAGGGGGGAGGGAACGGTGCGCGCTCTTTTTTTATAGACTTCCGTTTCGCGAGTGGCTCGTAAAAATCCGCGTGCTCCAGTTTTTGCAGTCTCTCTTTCACTCTTTTCCGTGTCCGTTTTATTCCATTCTATCTTTTCATATATGCCTCCTCTCCATCCCCCCCTCCCCCAATTTCTTTTTTTCATCGAGCAAAATCTGAGCAACTCTCTGTTACGACAAGAGACAAGCAAACAACTATGAACGACCTATTAAACTCGAAGAGTATAACGATGAGAGGTTGCGTTGAGTAAAGTTCGTTAGTCAGTAAACTTCCAATGTCTCGTTCATTCGGCGTGAGAATATACATTTTTCAAGTCAGCCAAAATATATAAATTTATTTCAGTCTTCAAAATAGTAAAAAGTTTTAATAAGGCAATACAGAAAATTAAAAATTAATGAGAATTAATTTTAGTTATTCGATAACAAAAATTCCACAGCGAATTTTATATTAACTTCCAATATTTCTAAAATTAAACCAATAAAAAATTACTCCTTTCTTAAACTAATGATGAAAGAGAAAATATAGTTAATTGCTCTCTTAATTGTTTATTTTCGAATTAATTCAGTAAAATTTATTCGATAACTTTTATTACCGAATTAAACTTAATACTATTACAGAACTTGATATGCGACTGATTATTAATTTTAGAATAACCAATATTATATATCATTATACAACTGCAAGATTATTTAAATAAATAATATAAAATATTATAAGTAATGTATGTAAGAAGTTATTTTACCACACTGTTATATTCTGATCACCACAAACATATTCATTATGTATTATTTATATGCAAGAAAATTCAATTGCATGTTAAACTTTTACTCTATCTAAAAATTTATCTTTGTTGAAAAAACAGAAATGAAAGTTCTAACAGCACACGCAACGTCCTTAGTTGCATCTTGCATGTTCACACGAATGCATACTTCCGCTTTCGAATCTTTTTAGGGTAAAACTATTGTATTCCGGCTGCAAATCGGTTTTTAAACCGAACGTTCCTTTAAAATTCAATTTAGCGAGTGGATTTCGCGCGCACGCTTGCTCTCAAGATGCACAGCGCTTTATGTCCTGCATTAAAAATGAGTGGCACTACTTATTTTTCTTCCCGCCGTCGTTAAGCGAGAAAGTGCTTTCGCGAAAGACGATGGAGAAGAGAAAGAAGAGTGACAGAGAAGGACCGAGAGAAGAAAAAAGAAAGAGCGAAAGAGAAAGAGGGAGAGAAAGAATAAAGAACCCCCCATTCGCCTAAAACAACAGACGATTATAAAACCGCGGTCGAGACGCTGCAAAAAGATTTGGAGGAAGAAAAAACTGCGCGTTGCAACGAAGAATAATTATCCGCGAAAGGAGGGCAACAAACGCCTGTAAAGGAGAGATTCCCGGGTCTGAATAAAATGGAGCGAGATGGAAAAATTATTTCTATTTTTTTTCCCTTTGTCTTTTTTATCATCCCTGCGACACATTGGTAGAGCGTAAACAATACACAGCCGTGACTGAAAGTAAAAATTCTTATAAATCACGATTAATGTGCGTGTATGCTATATTAATAACAATTTATTCTAATTGCGTGTACCGAATAGTTTAAGGACTTTTTTAGAAAATTTTTTCTGCCGTAAATTCTTCAGTCGCACACTCTGAGAGACAGATAATACGTCCATTACGTGATTATATGATCTATGGTCCTTCATGAGGCACGTTGATCATTGCTGCCAAATAATCCCGGCGATATTTATCGTGTGCGTGTTCGAAAGACCGAGTTGAGCGAGCAACGTTGTTTACCTGGCCGAATCGCGTAGGGGCGTTGTGAAAATCGGGCGACCATCGGTCACAATTACGTCGACGTGTTGATATTCGAATATGTTGCGACGTTAGGTGAGGCGAGCACACGTAGGTTTATCGCGATGAATCATAATGCGTCGCATGATTACAAATTACGCGATTCCCCTCGTCCACCGCGCCCTTCCATCATGTCGGTATTACTGTAGGAGTGGGCATCTCGATATGTCGAGAAATTGGATTACGACTGTACAATGTGGCGATACAAGCCACTCGTGGGAATAAAGGGTTTAATATGCACGATAGTTGGACGAGAAAGCGTCAAGTGCGAGATTATGTTTCTCACTGGTGGCGCATTTTCAAAAATATCGAATCTAGAATGGCAAGTTGGAATTATATGCCATAAGTGGGTCACCTT